AACACATCTAGCTGTTATCTTCTTCTCGCTCGTTATCAGGACCTTTATCATCAGTCATACGAGTCGGTGTGTGTGATGTTCGCCTCCATCCCAGACTTCAAAGAGTTTTACACCGAGTCTGATGTCAATAAGGAAGGACTGGAGTGCCTCCGTCTTCTCAACGAGATCATAGCAGACTTTGATGAGGTAAACGCTTACTCTTACACTGATGATCCTGTTTTTGTTTTTTTCAGAGGCAGCCACACTGGCTGATTATGCTCTAGGAGAGCTGGTGTCATTTCCTCTTCCTGTGTGTTTCATGTTATGTCCTGTATTCTTCATGTGTCCTTCAGCTGCTCTCCAAACCTAAGTTCAGCGGAGTGGAGAAGATAAAGACCATTGGTAGCACCTACATGGCTGCAACTGGACTCAATGTGACGCCAGGACCAGAGTGCGCACAGGCATGCTTTTACACACACACACACACACACACACACACACATTGTCACACACGTGCACATGCTTCACATTACCTCAACAGCATTGGTTTTGCAGGATGTAGCTGTCAACGCTTTGGCGAGCTCCGTGGGTGTCTCAACCCGTGCTATGAGTGCATGTTCATGAGATATGTTTTGTACAAATAATGGAGAATATTACTTTTAATTTGCACTATCCAGTTATGCAAGAATGTAATATCATATAAATCATAAAATGCACTAGCTAACGTCTACAAGCTAACTTCAACAGGTCTCGTTAGTAAACAAGCCTCACGCGCGGCGCGCTTGGTATCGGTAACCTTTGCCCCATCGAGCTATAAAGAATGAAGTCACCATCGTCTATTGTTAATATTAAATCGTCACCAGTTTGTCAACAAATTTTAAGTGAATTTCACTTCATCATTCGCTGTTTGTTGACTTATTTGGTGTATTTGAGCTCATATTTGATAAAGATGGTTTTGGCAGCTTGAGCTCATATAAAGAAAAAAAACTTTTCATTGTTAATTTATCGTCACAAAACAGGATGAAGCTCAAGCATCAAAGTATGAATTGCTGTCCAAATATATTTTGCCGCTTTGTGTGGGTTTCCCCCTTGAAATGTGCTACACATCAACATTCAAGCATCAGTGATTCATCAGTACATTCATTTGAATACATCAGTGTAGTCACTGGAATGAGTTCACCGTGCACTCAGAAAGGTGCCAACACGCTGTTTTTAAAAAACAGATCTCGATTGAAGGGAATCTGCTTAATTGACCCTTCGTTAAAATCCCCGCTTCTTAGTTTCTGTTGCTGTGTCTGTCAAGCTTTCCATTCTGGCACAAAGCAGTGGCAGATTTATAACTCTTGAGTATTAGAGTTGTCATATTTGTGGTAATGGTTAATTAAGTTGCACACAGGAGCAGGCTTCTCATTCCGGGCATTTAGTTCGGCTGAAATGACGACTGTCGGAGCCGCTGACATTTGCTAATTTAGTAGCAATTAGGGCTTTTACTAACATACTCTTTTATTTAAGGGACAGCAAAGGGGTCTTAAATCACCCGGAAGGGGTTAATTTTGCAGTAATGACGGGCTCGCTGTATTATCCCGCTCATTACATAGCTACTTACTAAAGAAATCAGTAATTTGACACATTTGTATTTACAGTCTTCCCAAGCTATTTCTGTTAATTAGACAACGACACGTTGAGGTCCAGACATGGTACAGTTAGCACCTTTAACTTATTTTGTCCCCCTCTCTGCATTTCCCTCAGGAACATGACAGACAGTACATGCACATCGGCACCATGGTGGAGTTTGCCTTTGCTCTTGTGGGGAAGTTGGATGTCATCAACAAACACTCCTTCAACGACTTCAGACTCAGAATTGGTGAGAACATTTCTTATTAGCGCAAATTAGCATAAATGTGTTTGTTTGTTTTCCTCCTGTTGATGTTGATGCCGTTGGTAATTTGGTGTTTTTCTGTTAGGGATAAACCATGGGCCGGTGATAGCAGGAGTAATCGGGGCCCAGAAACCTCAGTACGACATCTGGGGAAACAGTGTGAACGTGGCCAGTAGGATGGAGACCACCGGGGTGCTGGGAAAAATACAGGTGGGACGTTTCACAAAGTACAGGTACATGTCATCCCGTGTGGTCATGAACTTCCGAATCTAGTCCTGTTTCTTTCTTTCTCTCCGTACAGGTAACAGAGGAGACGAATGGTATCTTGTCAACACTGGGCTACATGTGTTCATGTCGCGGCATCATTAACGTGAAGGGCAAAGGAGAGCTGAAGACCTACTTTGTTCACACGGAGATGACTCGATCTCTGTCACAAGGGACCGTGATGCCTTGAAGACGTCACAATAACCGCACAAACAAGACTCGAGAACACAATCACACACACACATACACACACAATGTGGCCGTAGAAGTGATTTGTCATGCTCCGCAGCTAAAAAACCCATTACCAGCAAGCAGCACTGCAGTACAACGGACAGACGATTGTCGAGAACCAGTTTTGTCCTCCGCAACACGATGTAGAGCCGAGGTGCACCGCCAGGATGGGTTCCACATCTCAAGTGTGACAAGGACTTTGCTCTGAGGAGCCTCATCACTGTCTAAAGGAGTGCCTGACTAAAGAGAGGTTTGCCAAATTAGCGCAGCTCTCAAGGTCCTGTACAGTAGTAGTGGTGCGGAGCTAATTACCCACGCCAGTGTTTCTGCAGTGCTTCAAAGCCTTATACTTGAGCAAACTGAGCCGTGTTTTTATAGATATATATCATATATATAAAATATAATATATGATATATATCTGCCTGGTTGGCACTGTGAACCGGTTTGTTCCATTTATTACCAAATGGATGTTACAATAGCTTCTTTAACAAATCGGCGGTGTGGTGGGTAGTTTGCCAAAAACCTGTGAACTGTATTTAGAGCTTCAGAGCTGCGTTTGTGTCCCACTGAAGAGTCGTTGGACTCCAGATTCGAGAAGAAAATAGAGTTTTGTTTTTTTCTATAATCCATCTGGAACCAAACAAACAGCAATGTGTGTAAATGTCCACTGCTATCCTTTTGGTATTCATTAAACATTTGTATATTAACAGACGTCCTCTGTCTTTGTGCGTTTGTTTCACAAACATTCACAGCATGTGCTCACAATGCGAGTGCCGTTGAGTGCTTAGAGACAATACAGGTTTTCTTTTGGCAGCTGTATTTATTGTATTCATCTAACATGCCAGAGCTAGCTTAGCTTAGCACAAAGACTGGAAATGGGGACATAGAGGTTGTTTTTTTTTTACACAGATTGAACATTAACACAATATATATAATACATATGTATATATAATATATATGTTATGAATGAGTGTTTTAGGTGCTGGTAAGCAGATTTTGTTAACAACTGACAGAGCTAGGCCCCCCCCCGTTTCCTGTCTTTGTGCTAAACTAAGCTAATCTACTGCTGGCTGCAGCTTCATATTTAGTGGACAGATAACTCTCCGGCATAAAGACAATTTCTCAAAATGTCAAACTATTCCTTTTAAACATTAAATATAACATGACCTGTGATCTGTGTAACTATCACATTCACCAATAGACCCTCTGGCTTACAAACACCAAATGTCACTGTTTGTTGCATGATTACTGTCAGAGTGTATCGAATACATGTGTTTTTTCTTGGTAAATATGAAGTATGAAATGGTTTGTTTTGCTGATACATGGAGTAACAATCAAAGGCTGTCCATGTGAAGCGTACTGTGATGCAATGAGCTACATTCACTGCAGGACTACGCAGAAATCGCTGAGGCTGACTCTGCTGATTGAGGTGTGAAACCATTGTTCTTTATTAGGCTTTTGTGACCACATGCCAATTTATGCGACAACATTTACATTTTACTAAGTAATTTTTTCCTCCTTTTGAAAACAACACCTCGTGTATTAGCTCCAAATCCTCCTAAATAAACACTGCAGTTCTAACACCAAACAGATTCAAATACGGTATCTTTTTTAAGAATTAATGGTCTATTTCTGCCAGAGTACAAAGCCAGAAGCAAATGAGAGATGTCTGTGCTCCTATTATGTAGGAGGTTGGTCTCAGTCGGTTCAGGATTAATAGACAAAAAGAATCCAACAACTTGCAAATCAAAGAGGTTAGTGATGCAGAGAAAGAACTGCATTTGCATAAAGCAAGGGTTAGAAAGAACCGAAAGCCGAGGGGAGTCCAAAAAATGCAATGTGTCGTGGTATAGTATATGCATGTGAATGATTGTGGGTTTGGTTGAAGCAATCCTTTGTAACTTCTAGTTTACGTGAGCTACGTGAGCTCAAAAGAGAAATCAAGAACCCACATTACACCGAGAACATTCAGTCTCTTAATACAAGCAACCATTGTACTGAAGGCAGAAATCTGAATACTGAATCTTTGATATCATGTGCAATATCGAAATGTAATAACTGGAAGACATTTTTGGATTTATAGTTCCTTTGACGGATTATATTTCGTGGCCGGGCTCAGCCTTAGAGATAGGGTAAGGAGCTTGGTCATCAGGAGGGAGCTTGGAGTAGAGCCGCTACTCCTTCGTGTCGAAAGGAGTCAGCTGAGGTGGTTCGGGCATCTAATTAGGATGCCTCCTGGACGCCTCCCACTGGAGGTTTTCCAGGCACGTCCAACTGGGAAGAGACCCCGGGGAAGACCCAGAACACGCTGGAGAGATTACATCTCCCAGCTGGCCTGGGAACGCCTCGGGATCCCCCAGAATGAGCTGGAACATGTTGCCGGTGAGAGGGAGGTCTGGGTCGGCCTGCTTGACCTGCTGCCACCGCGACCCGACCCCGGATAAGCGGTGGAAAATGGATGGATGGACGGATTATATTTCACTTAAAGTATCATTTATTTCCTGCTTATTACCAGGATACAATACAGCAGTATATCATAAATACCTTCTGATTAAACAATGGTTGAAATGATGCGGACCCATCAACTAAACTGAAATCTATCAACTACAACACTGGTTGAACACTTCCATCTCATGCTGTGACACTTTCAAGTCGGGGCCACTGATCCGAATCCTTCTTCCACATTCCAGTTGATCCCACTTTTCCTGAAAATGTCAGCGTTTATGCAAGCCAGGCGTGCGTATAAGGCCGGGATACAGGCCGGGATCACAATGAGGGCCGTATCCTTAAGAAGAGAGCACCGGCACAGCTCTGGACTCCTCCTGGGGTCCAGCAGGACGACAAGGCAGAGAGAGACAGAAGAAATATTCAAAATAGTTAAATTAAGGGGGGGAAAAGAGAAAGGTTTAACTTGCACTTAGCATAAAAAATGCCAAGGCACCCTACTTTGCAAACATTAAAAAGCCTTTTTTTTCTTCTATCACAATTCAAAATATGTACATATTTTTTTGACCAATATCGTGACTGTGGTTTAAATTGCGATTCGGCTCTTTAAATGAAGTGTTGGGATGGGACTAGCTATAGTCTACTAAATATGCAGTTAAAAACCAGTAAATGTGCTGATACAGTTAAACGGCCACTGTATCCAAACCTTCACCTCTTACCACTTGTGAATGCATGGGCGATGTCATTAAAAGTACACTTTGTTGTGAAGGTGTTTACAAGTTCTGCCGTAATGATTCATTGACACATTTTTGCCCCAAAATATAAATAAAAAAATAATGCTGAAATTCATTCACTGGGCAATTTTTGACTGAGAGGGAGGGGGTGGTATACTGATCAGCTTCAGGTGAGATATTCTATGAATTCACTGACCTTGCTACTGTTCTGATGCATTTCTATGGTATAATTTTGGATACCGGCGTAGTAAAACAAGATTTTATGAAGCATAATCAGCGCAGTTGAAGCAGACGTACTTGTGCTGAGTAGGTAACATGATTATTACTCCACATAACCATTCATTTCCTCTTTATTGCCAAGAGGGTACACTATAGGCTGGAGTGAAAATTGCCCCGACAAATTAAAACTATTAGCTTCACCACCATATTGTTATATGAGTAAAAAACGGATGTACACGTGTTGCTCAATAATACCCAGGGTGCCTCATTGTGAGCAACACTGGGAGCCTCTGACTTCAGGCAGGTCAGACTAACTATCCACAGAACAGACAGTACCTGCTCCTGGCTGTGGCAGAGTAACTGCTGGGTTTCTATTTGCATAAAAATAAGTGGAAACGGAACCAAAAAAATAAATAACACACCGCCATTATCCTCTGAATAGTTTAAACAATAAATTATTTTTGATTCACATTCAAGTGTGAATTCCGGAACAGAAAACGTCCTAATTTAGCAGGATCTGTCAGCCAGCCTCTCAACCCGCTGTAATTACAAGCTCGGCAGCGTGTGTGTGTGTGTGTGTGTGTGTGGCGGCTTTGTTCACCACCGTCTCTGCTTTCGGTGACCCAGAAACTCACTGTGAGACAGTTTCTCTCCACATGAATAATCCCTCTGTTGAGATGAAACGAAACGGAGCCACAGACAAATGTTATGAATGTCAGATGTATGTTAATGTTTGTGTGTGCTGGATAAACACAAATTTTTTTGGTACATTTTGTACAAAGAAATATGTTTGATGAAATCTTAAGTAAAGAGGAAAAAATAAAAAATAAAAAGTATAGTTTACATGTACTAACTTGTCATTTTAAAGTGCCTTCATCATTTCATGTGTTAATTGTATAAACTAATGTTATTTTGAAGCCTCGATTTTGGCATTTTGGCCGTCGCCATCTTAGTTTTTTACAACCGAACATTGAATGAGACATTTTTAGGCGACCAAAATATTACAATTATCTTACATAAACTGAAACGGACTGAGAAAGAGTCAAAGTCGTACGACAAAAACACAGACAACTGCCAAACCGGACAAAACCGTGGTAGCGACCTGTCAATCACAAGGTAGCCCCGCCCTAAAGCATTTCCTGCTTTGTTGTCTATTTGACTCTAACTGGACTATAATTTACTAAATGAACATCATGCTGTATTGAAGAAGACTTGAAACTAGAGATTGAGACCATAAACTCATGTTTACAATGTTTACTGAGGGAATTAATAGAAGTAGAATCATTTTCTCATAGACTTCTGTACAATCAGATCCTTTTCTTCCATTGGCACTTTGCCGCCTGTAACAAACTGACATTTCCATGTACAAAACACTCCAAAAGCCATATTGCCAATGTTCTGTTTTCATTAACAGGCGTCAGGAAACACCAGGAGAAGGTGTTATTAGCTGAGTAGAGTGGTAATGCTTGCGTGCCAAGTGTGTAGGTGGTCAGTGCTATAAGGCAATGTTCCCCAACGTCATTACTGAACTGTAATTCATCACTTTAAAACTTCACTTAAAATGTGACAAAATACACATACTATAAATATACTCTCCAAACCTGAGCCTGATGTGAAAACAGACCCCAACAGCCATCTACCATATGGTGTTAATTACCCATAGCTTCTCCCTTTCTGGTCGTGCCTTCTTGACATAATTTCTAAGCCTTATGGCTGTAATATTACGCCCTCTCTTACAATTGCTATTTTTGGTATATTCTCAGCTCCAGATGACTCCAATGTAATTGCTTTTCCTCTCTCTATTAGCTAGACACCTAATTTTATTTAAATGGAAGGATGTAACCCATCCATCTCATAATCAGTGAATCACAGATGTGATGCCAAACATCAAGGGGGAGAAAATGAGATGCTCTCTCGACAGCTCCATTACGAGATTTCACAAAAACCTGGGGCCCATTAACAAAGTAAGTGAATAGCCTACCTGACCTGGGACTATGAACTCATACCTCTAAAGGTAATCTGTCCTATTTATGCTTCAACACACTATGATGCTCTTTTTTTGTCATCTGTTTGCATTAGATGTTTTTTGTTTTTTTGTTTACTTTATATTTCTTTATATATTTGCACCTTGAGATGATCACTTATGTCAATGTCTAATAAATGGAAACAAATAAAGCTTTAATACAACTATGAAAGCAATGCAATCATTTTCAGTATATGTTATCATGTGGGGAACATTATATAAAATTCATCCCCAATACTATATCACCACTGAGTCAATGGTGTGTCCACTCAAAAGGAAGGATTAACATGTCTTCATCACCCATGGATTTAAAAATGTCATATTTTAATGATTAATCATTATAAATACTAGTATTTATTAATATAACAAGCCAATCATTTGTGCTAAGAAGCCTTTTTTTTTGTTTCACGTTGATTCACAATAGACTTCAGCTATGATCAAGATTATTATTTTTTTTTTAGATGCTGCAGTAGTGACAGGGGGTCAAATAAATCAAACCCAGGACAGAGTTTGGATTACTAAAGGATTCACGATTTCTTAACAAACTAAATAAGCAGAAATATAGAGACTATTTCCCACAATTCCTAATCGGTCGAGACAACTCAAATATCTTGCCGAGGCTCGGCGAAACACACTTGTCTGATTCATTCAACTCAAGTTTGAGCTCATCAGCAAGCTAAGAAAGTTTAAATGAGATGCTTCGGAACCAAAATAGCAACTAAAGTGTGGTCATTACCTCCTTGTTTGTGTCTAGTCGTCTTGCTTTAAAGTGTCTTCTATCGTCTCGGTGCAGTCTCATATCACAAACCTCCGACTGGTGGAACACTTGGACCTGCCAACTGAGGGACAGAGAACGAGTGTGTATCGTTCAAAGCGTGTCCTCAAACAGAGATAGTTCATTTTACGCCACTTTGGGGAAAGAGCAGGAGGTAGTGGTGGAACCGAATGCAACGGTCACAACGACTTCTTCCTCAAAAGGGGTTCAAGTTACAAGAAAACAAACCGCACTGTGGTGGATCGGTCACCTGTGGAAATTCAAGTAATCGTTTACAGACCATCGCATGGTCATTGTTGGAGAAAGGTTCATGTGTTTCTATAACTGTTCCCAGTTATTGCTTCCCAGACATTTTATATTTCTTAACTCAGAAAAGATGTCTGGGTTCTGTGAATCTAATGCAAGTGAAGTGAAGTTGTCAATGGGTGAGGACCAATGACTCACCTTTTTTATTATGAGTAATCAAGAAACTATATGCCGTTATGAGTGAGCTTAACAATGGTAACTCTCATTCTGTCGTTGAGCTCACGGGATTACTTTGCCTCCCAAGAATTCACAAATTTTCTTTCTTTAAAAATCTTGAATCTCAATGTAGCTAATCAACTGTGGAGGTTGCACGGTACAACCTATTCACCCGTTGCCCCTTCAAAATGTATGGAATTTTGGATTGTCTTCTTATAAATTTGATGAGCAAGCATTTGTAATTGGTAACTTAGAAAAAAAAAGGTTGTGCCCATCTCTGACTGTATTTCAATATCTTCGTGCTATATAGCTAACTCTGGCTCAATGGTTGTGTTATGGTACCTGTCAAATAAACTTTTTTGTAAACACTATTAAAAACAAACAAACAAACAAAAATTGCTAGCAAGCGCTAGCAGTGAGATTAGCACGGCTGGCAACAACAAATTCAAAATCTAAAACTTTACCGTTAATTCTTTGTTAAAGTACGACATTTCTTTCGGTTCTTTCCATCGTCTTCGGCTGAAAGAAAAACAAAAATAAACTCTGAAAACTGAACTTAGGATACTGACTGTTTGACATGCTGCCTTCACGAGCTCTTTGTTTGTCTGCACTTCAGAGTTTCAAAAAGCTAAATGTGAACAACGTGAAACAAAGTTGTTATAGGCTATGTGATAACGTGGAGAATACCAACACATTTTATTTTATCAGTGACACATTTACGTACGTGTACGTTGTTACAAAACAAGAAACTATGAGGCAAAATGAAACCACTCCTGGCTGCTTTTATCCTCTGATTACATTTCAGGAGGTTTTTTGTCTCAGTCTGCTCATTGTTATTATTTGAAATTTTCAAATTTAACTAGTTTAGCTGAAAGCCACAAACCTAATGGGAAATGAAAACTGTGCACTTTTTTTGTAACAGGAGAATAACAAAGAGAACAGTGGGGATTATTAAGTTAACTGTTGCAACTGCCAACAGTTATTGATAAAGCTACCATTGTTTTTCGCTTTGTAAGATGATTTCTACATTCCGATTTGTTTATGAAACGGAACGAACAGCCTTACAGTACAGTACAGTACAGGGAGTTATATAAAATTAGACAGTCTGGCATTAGGGGGTGTACATGTATTTAAGTATTTAAAATATTATACTATAGAATGCGGATATTCAAAGAAAATATATAATACTTTGTTAGCTGATACACTTTGGAATTAATGCTACAAAATAGTTGAGAGTCAACAGTGGACTTATCACATCCTTGCACAGTTGCATCGTCCTTTATGTCAATAGCACTTGTCCAGTCGAGGGCCTTCAAAGGTCTCTCACTGCATCTGCTGTGTAAAGGCCTTTACACACCGGGGCCTTTGTTTTTTTCCTGTGCGATTAATTCGCATGTCAATATATTTATTCTGACTGTTGTTTTTGTCATGAGCTGGCTACTTTCACGCCCCCGGTGTGTAAAGGCCTTAACTCTGACAGCAGAATCAATTTTATTACACTGGACAGACTATGCCTCCAGCACAGTGTGGAATATGTGGTTCTGTTATGGGTGATGAGAAAAGTCAAATTGCCGGGGCTTTGGATAAACTATAAATAGGCTAACCTCCCAGTCCCTCAGCAATATGGAAAGATACAGATGGTGCACCTCAAGTTAATCCTGGCAAATTGAGTCCATTGGGGAGACAGGGAAAATACGTATATACAAAACAACTTCTGTACAGCCAGAAGTTCCAATCCATAATGCTGTAGGCATCCTTACATTTTACAGTTTCACATTTTGGGAAATGATCTTTTTCACTTTCTTAGAGCGTTAGATGGGTGGTTCAAAACCACGTTTGTATCTGTTATATATGAAGCTACAGCCAGTTAACGTAGCTTAGCATAAATAATTGACAGTTTACCAGTCTGAAAGATAGTTTTATTGGGAGTTATGTGCAGAACCTTTTCTTGGGCACAGGGATTTCCTGGCCAAGAAATAGCCATTAAAGTTTGTATATGTTAGTTTTTGAACAAATTAAGCAAACCTTCGGTCACAGCCAAGCACGCAGTTTCCCCCTGTTGTCAACCTTTATGCTAAGCTAAGCTAACCGGCTGCTGATTTGTAGCTTCACATTTAACAGAAAGACACAAGAGTGGTATCCTCTTTGCAATATATTTTGCAAAAACAAAACTGAGAATATAGAATTGCATACATTTTGATGAAAGGAGGTGATCAGACAAAAAAATAATGCCATCATTTTATTTTGTGGAACACAAAAAAAAGACTTTTAGAGGTTGTGTATGTATGTCACCTGTCATACACATTTTAATCCATCACTTCACAGAGTGTGTGAGTGTGTGTGTGTGTGTGTCTTGTACAGTGATAGTGGCTAGAGAGGAAGACATTGTTCACACGGTGGTCCAGCACCTCTTAGCTTTCTCTCCATTTCGGTGATTACAGCCGTGACATCGGGACACAACTTATTTCCTTATTTCTGTGTGTGTCAGCCAGTCCCACCTGCTGTTATGGTTCTCTCCTTCCATGTAATTATGACCGAGCAGCAGGGGGTGGCCAATGACAGGACACTAATCACTGTGCCAACACACACACACACACACACTGAGAGAGAGAGAGAACCACAAAGCCTGAGTGCAAAGGTGCACAGATGTTGATAAAAAACTGCCGCAGTAGTTCAAGAGGTTCCCAACAACAATGACGTATGAGGACAGAAGGGATATGTGGACAAAGAGAGAGAGACAGGCAGAGTGAGGGAGATGTGGCATGATCCCCACCTGCTTTCATTCATTTTAGAGGTCGTCTCAGAGCACAGGAGTAATTACTGCTGACATTTCAAAGGGCTATATTGCTATTTGGCAGGAATCACTGTGGTAATGAAAGCACCTGAAGGCAGGGTTCAGTCATTCAGTGGTCCGCAGTTATTAAAGGGAAGGTACCAGTGTTACTGAGCCTTGTTCTCATCTGTATATGTTTTTTCCACTGCCTCAGACGATGTTTTATTGATCTGGAATTAAATGTCTTCTTCGTGTCATTCAAAGCAGCGCTGAATATTTTACGTGCAAGAAGTTCTCATCAGTATGAAGCAGCTTCAGCTACTTGTTTATCTGAAAGGGACAGAGCACGTTCATACAACATCAGTACAAAAACACAGGATGTAAACACGCCGTATAGCAAGAATGGTAATTTACATTCATATTCCCTGTAGGCTGGTCACAAAAACAGAAACATTACAAGGGGCAGTAAACAAATACACAAAACACATGTAATGAAGGTTACCTGTTCAAAGATCAGTGAATGATAAACATCATAACTAATCCAACTATCCCGGACAACAAATGACTCATAAAATGCTAAATAATAACCTTTCAGAAGGTGTCCATGTTCCTGGAGAAAAGAAAAGAAAAGCAATATTAAAGAGAACAATATTATTGTGAAAAGCAACACATTTTGAACTTCATCAAGGTCATGAAAGGCCCCAAAAATATCCATTTTGTCAATCAGCTTCTTACAGCTTACTTGTTGTTTTCTTGTTCGAAAACAGTGCTGTTATACAAGAATTTTGTTCAAAACATATACATAATAATAATAACAATACATTGAGAGGAGTGGAGAACCCTGAAGGCAAACTACTCCCATGTGCAGGAGAGATTCATCTCATTCTTTCACGACCAAACTGTGATATCCCTCTGAGGAGGAAAGCCAGTCCTTCACTGGTATCAGTCTTCCCCCTGCTGGACATGACAAGTAACACATCAGCAACCACACAAGAAACAAAACACAGGAAGTGCACATAGCCGCTGGCAAGATGGCTCTACTTAATTATTTAAATATTTGTTATTTATTAACACATTAGAAAAAAAAGGCCAAACCAGTGATCATGTGTAGTCCCCTAACAGTTAACCAGCACACATTAAACATATAGAAACACATTATTCATAATAACAATTTTTTTCCCCTGAGTATGACAAGGGTGGCAGGATAAAGCCCCAACATATTTAAAGAGGTGGCTTTACATCTAGCATTTTGTGTATTATTCTTGAGATTGCACACAAAAAAAGTTGCATTCTCTTTCAAATCCCACATGAAGCCAAAAAGACTGTTCACATAATACAAATATCTGTTGTGTTATTATGAAACTGATGCAATGCAGCTGGTGTTGTGTACAACTCAGGGTTTTCTACTATAAATCAATGTCATAAATGTTTGGCCAATAAAATCTGCTAAATCTATTCTGCGCAGAGAAAGGTGGATAACTTTAGATAGTTCACCCTCTGCCTCACAGTTACATCCGTCTCTAAACTTTATCAATATCTATTCTTACTATATTTTAACTCCTTTTATGATTTATTGCGATATTGTCTTTAATATTTTCCTGTAAGTGTAATTATCTGTCCTAATGCCTCTAATACTAGACTTGAAACATCTGATGTTTATGAAATATGTTATCTGTTAAGTAAGTGAGCTTCAGCTATAAATGTTAATAATTGTGACTAATAATTAATTAATAATTGTTAATATCAGTGTCATTGTGGTTGAATAAGTAGAATAATACCTTTGTAAGAAATAAAAATAAATCATTGTATGTATTGAAATATCACCAGTGGGCCTCACGAGGCTGATCTGCAGTCCTCCACTGACTGTAATGAATACATATAAAGGTCATTTTCCATGTTGAGTCACAGTTATAAAAACAAAATATAAAGTCATCTCATCGATAAATCGCTCTCTGCTGCGACATCTTCGCAACACTTGCGTCAATATCAACATTTCTACTCACTGGAAATCATTTGGAGTGTTTCGTGCAGTGTGGGTTACTTGTTAAAGCGCTTTGAGCATGCAGCCATGCTGTGATGCTTTCACAGGAGGACCCCCGGGTCCGTCCCTGGAAAATATTTACTTGACATTACGTTGAGGAGGCCCCGAATGTTTCTTAGTACCAAACAACTCACAAGTTGTGGGTGATCAACGTTAATGCTGTTCACAGCAAGACAGAAGGCAGCATAAATCCTGCTCTGACTTTGACTCACACTTGGAACTAGAGTTGTTAAAGCCCCACTATTCACCCTATCGACGCCCCCCCCAAAACCTCTGCAGCCCTGCAACGCAGAGTCACACGTGCTGTTGGTGTTTGTTCTTTTACTGATCGGAATTTATGGAGAATAGTTGTACAGTTTCTACTGATGCAGTCTCAAACAACTGCCCTGCAAATGTTATGGAAGTTATTTTGAAGTTATTTTAGAGACGTGTTAATCCAACTTCATTCCTATTTTTGTTGGATTGTTTTTGTGTTATACTGAGAATTGTATCTAATATTTAGTCCACCATCATTAATTAAAATGCATAGTGTATTGATGTAACATCCACCAATCAAATGGTTCATCCACAAGATGACATCTTGTCCTGTAACTTATTTTGAAAAGAAGCAGAATTAAATAACATTTTATCTGAACAGTTATTGAATTATTTCACAATTGTTTTTGTTATATTACGTCACACAGTTTGTATTTATCTTTTAAAAAAATATATAATAATGACGGCTTTATGTCACTGATTGTGTGTTGCTTGTATAGACACTTCAGAAGGCTGGATTGTAGCACCATAAACTTAAGTTTCTTGTTTTTATGTTGCCACTGGAAAGAGACTTTGAGCAGATACATGAGTTCCAGCATGAACCAGCAGATGGCATCAGTAATACAGCTCAGATGACAAAGGAGAGAGAAACGAGTGCCATCACAGAAACAGCTGACCTATTCTGTTTGGATTATATCCGGGAGGCTTTACCAGTCACTGTACTCCTCCCTTTAAGTATCAGTAACATAACATTCACCCACTTTCTTTTTTTATGGAGAGTTCACATAAACAATCAACAGTAGGCTACATGAATCGTGCACTTTTTTAAAACTTATATTCTTTACTGTTATGTTTTTTTACTATGTCTCTTGTTTGGACTGTCCACTATGCTGCTGCAACCCTGTACATTTCCCCACTAATAAAGGATTATCTTATTTTATTGTATGTGTCGTTTTTATAACTCGCTGTTAACATCCTGTGTATGCCTTCTTCTTTTTCTTTTTTGAGGTTTATTGGCGGTTGGTAAACAACGAATTGGTGCATTGACGCCACCAACTGGTATGGAGTGTAGATCAGGATGTCTAGTACTTATAGTTTAGTATAACAAATTAAAATCAAAAAAGAAAATAAAAGGGAAAAAAGAAAAGAAAGAAAAGAAACAAGAGACAAAACAAAAAACAAAAACAACTGGCTCATATTTTCTTCATAATATTAGTTAGTCTAAGATATTATTTGCCTTTTTCTTGTCCATGTGTAGTTTTCATAACTGTTTTTTAGTTGTGTTTCTTTACATGACCGACGTTAGACGCGCGCGTGCGCGCACATGGTGACCGCCGTCGTTCCTTGATGACCCATCTTCGGCTCATTTCCGAATGCTTACGGAGATTCCTCCCTCCCCCGTCTCTTCCCCGCTACAGCTACTCTCCCCTCGGCTCAGCTCCGAGGAGGAACCCGGTGCCCCCTCGGCTGATCTGATCGTTTCCAATTACGTTACCCCCCAAAGATGGAGGTCTGCAGATGGCACCACTAGCGTCTACGAGTCCGTGTTGTGTCTTTAACGACGCTTTTGTCGGGACAGAAGTGATTTCGTGCCACCCTTTTTGTCGATTTTTTGTTGGGGAGGATATCTACTTTTGGGAGTATAACTGAGCTCCTCCAAGGGTTCGGGTTGTGTGGCAGCCATGAGCTCCGGGGAAGGAGCCGAGGAGACGACGAAGGACGCTAGCGACATAGCGACGTTCTTCAAAACCGGTAAGCCGAATAACGAGTCGGAGAGGTCGGACTGAGCACCGCTGAGAGCTGCTCCCCTCTCTGGTCCAGCGACGCGAGGGGACATTGTTCCCGTCTGTGTTGACTGTTTTTGTGGGTCTATATCTCATAAATGTCACAGCTGTTGTTATAAATAATGTGTACAAAACACAACAATGACCAACAAAGTATTGGACATCTCTAAAAATCGGTGTATTTGCATGTATTTCTCCAACTACATTATCAGATCCGTCCAGTCAGTTGTAGACAAGCAACGTTAGCTAAATCGCTAATAGTCCGAGTTCCATCTTCGGACACCACCTTGTCACAGCTTGGGTAGCTTTCCGTGTACTTTTCTCCAATACCGTATTCTATGTGTTTTTCATTTTCCACGGCACTACCACAAACACAACTGCTTGCTGTCATGAGTATGTGGAACATAAATTTGACCCAGTAACATTAAAACCAGTTGGCGAATGAAAAATACGGGGAACCGCAAATGTATGTTGTTTGTCCCGAGACAATTGGAATCAAAGCGACTTTTTATTATTTAAAAAAACAAACAAACAGACATGTAGGATTGTCTAGATAATTTACTAGTGTCTAAATGTGGACTTTGCTGAAAAACGAGAGAAGAAGAAGCAGCAGCTCAGGGGCTGTCCGATAATGGACCAATCGTGTTAATTAACTAGTTCCAACGTTAGCTTCCCAATGCTAACCTGCTAGCTTAGTGAATCCTGAATCAGATTTAAGTGAATCCTGTCTCTGCCTGGTTAGCTAACAAATGCTAGCTTAGGTTAGCGTCGCTTAGCTTGCCAGTGAGTTGACAGAGCTCGCGTCTATTCCAAACTGCTTTCGTGGTGCATGAAGTACAAACACAGACAGTGTCTTCAAAGCCACTGTTCCGTTAATTCGTTGTTTTTTTGTTTTGTTTTCCGTGCTGTCAAAAAATAGCACGACTGTGGAAGCTATGTAAACAATACATGGCGTGGCACAGATAGCCTGGGTGTGTGTGCAGGAGAAGCTAGCTGTGCAACATAAGCTATCAAGGCCAGAAGGCTGCCTGCCTTTTTTTTTTTTATCAATAACACGGTCTGGTGGTTGTGATAACACCGCAGAATGACACTGATTCACACATGAAATGTTGCTTTTGGACACGATTATATATCGCCCACTTTTGCATGCACGGATTGCTAACGTTAGCTAAGTAGGCTAATTAATCAGTAAGGACTGTGACTTGGAAGTCCTAACACGGGCCTACAGTGATTTCATGGGCTGCAACAATGGCTCATAAAATGTGAATTCTAGGGGTCCTAGCAGAGATTAAAGGGGGTCCTAGAAAATATTACATTTTACCAGCTGAGTTTGCATAGTGAAACCATGTGGAAGGATGTCATATTTTCTGCTCGTTTCCAATATAAAAATTTATACTGTCTGTGCAAAGGTTGACAATACATGTTGTAATTTAAGTTTCCTGGGACACAGTTGAATGTAATGGAGATCCATGCGTGATCGTTCATGGGTTTCTGGCCTGCACTTTAATATGCCAGATAACCCTCCAGCTATGTTCAGTGACTGCAAGTAGTAAATTAGATCAAGTGCCTGTCATTTCTGCCAGTGTCATCATCTAACTCCACTCTCTTTTTTGTAACACTAGCTTACTGGTTACATGTATTTATTCATGAATCAATAGCTGTGTCGTATATGTGTAGTGGTAGTTAACCTCCACCAGTGAAAGTGATACTCAAATAGGAAACTGGCTTACAAGACAAAATGAAATACTTGAAGTTCTGTCGGAGGGGTGTAAACAAGGAGGAGAAAGCAGAGTATTGACATCCAGCCCTCTGCCTCCTGTGGTTTTGTGTTTAGCGAGATAATAAGCCACCGGGGGAATTTCAGTATCCATATTGAGCTGATCTGATGGCTTCCTTTTTTTAGGGAGAGAGAGACGAGAGGCATCCTGTAACTCACTTGCGACCACACTCTTTGTATGTTTTGTTGATGGTGCACAGCTGCAGCCATTCTGCCTCACTGTTAATCAAATCTGTTGCTAATTTGTTGCATAATTAAAATGTTTAGATATGCCGCCTTTTCTTATTACCACAAGGCCATCTGCAGCAGTCTTAGATTGCAGTTCAGAAAAAGCTCTTTGTTTACCAATTTACCAATGCCGGTCTGTACGTGAAGCATCCTCTTGCACAGTGATGGGCAGACATGGAGGTCCTGCTATACATTCAAACACCTTTACCTCATCTCTGATGTTAACCGAGATCTTAACTTAAACAGGACAGTTACCTAACTGAGGATATCTTTTTGGGATCCACATTTATGTGTACTTAAAGCTAAACATGGCTCACTGGCACACAACTACAATTATTAACCATAAGCTGCTTTCTTAGTCTACTTATCTTTTATGAAGATCCTTTAGGAGCATATGTGTTGTTTTTGTTTCTCACAAACACCTCGCCGTGTTGAACAAACCTCTGAAGCTACACCCAACACAGATTATGACGTCTCTGTTGCCTACTTAGCTCAAATATGACTTTTTTTTGAGGTGGAACTGCTGATTTGTCATTTTTGCAAGATATTGCTTCAGTGTTTTTACAATCCCCTGAGAGAGCCTGGCACCACCAGTAGTGGTCTTACGTCACTGAGTGCAACAGGACAGCGAATGACGAGACCACCTACTATATGAGATAATGATAACTATTTACTGGAAACACGAGATCGGATTTTTCAGTCATGCCCATGTTCTTTTTTCCAAACAGTGTGTAGCTACGTTACTGCCTTTGGTAACACTTTTATTTCTGAGCACGATGTCTGGTTTTGTATTTTACACAATGTAAGGAAGCTGGCACTGAATAAATGTGCATGGTTATTAGCTCAAAAACAGTTGAAAGTGGAGCGTTGTTGCTCTCAGAATCAGTCATCTCGGTAGTGAACCCACTATAGGTCTGAGTATAGATGGTCTACCAATGGCTCTATACAACAAGCTGGTTGGAAGGCCTGAGTGTCCCGTTAGAGCTCCCCACCTCTTTGTTTTTGCTCAGGAACTTCCTCCTTATAGATCTGGGAGTCTTGTTTTGACATGCACAGGTTTGAGTGTCTCGCCACAGGCAATGCCTTTCCCCCCCTTCCCTCCGTCCCCAGCTCCATTCTCATCTCTTTTTCCATCCTTATGCATTTTGTGTCTTTGGCTTGCCCATGTCCTCCTTCTTTGCTTTCTTCCCTACTCTCTGTCTGACTGCCTGCTGTTTGCGTGGTCATTCGCCAGTCTGTTTCATGTTTTCCTCCCTCTTTCATTCTTGTTGCGTCGTGTTGGGCCTCACTGTCCTAATGCAAAATGACATCTAATAAAAAAAAAAAAGAGAGCTCCCCCCTGTCTCTCTCTCTCTCTCTCTCTCTCTCTCTCTCTCTCTCTCTCTCTCTCTCTCTCTCTCTCTCTCTCTCTCTCTCTCTCTCTCTCTCCCTCTCTCTCTCCCCCTCTCTCTCTCTCTCTCTCTCTCTCTCTCTCTCTCTCTCTCTCTCTCCTCTGTCTTCCAGACTGGAATTAATACCGAGGCCTCAGAGCTGTGAGACGGGGAGTTTTGTTGTGGCATGTTGTCAATCATCAGGTTGTTCCACACTAAACATATCTTTGAATACGCTGGTGACTAAGAGGCTGATTTAGTGTTGATTTCATACAGTTATTACTTGTTGGTACTGTAGGGTATTATTCACGATGGGGGGGAAATAAACCCACTGCCAGGCCTTCATGAATGAACATTTAGAGGCTGCAACATGCCGTTCACAAGGCCGGTCTGTCTGTATGTTTGAATGAGCATCGGTGTGTGTTTGTGCGAGAACGAGTAGTGAAACAGACGAGCAGGACGAGAGAGAAATCTGATCCAGAGCTTACATTTATGACTCAGGCCCATTGACCCAGGATGAGGCACACACACACACACACACACTCTGAGACTAATGGATATTGATCCAGGAGATGGAGACTGATTGAGCTCCCTCATTTCAAGTTTCCTCCAGGCTTAAAGCTGCCAAGTCAGACACAGAGCAGAGGCTAAAGCCTAATGCTGCACAAAGCAGATTTCTTTCATCATCCCATGTTCACGGGATGGAAGTAAACACAGAATTGGTGCATCATAAGGCGATGCATACGGACGATAGACGGGTCGGTGTGTTGTCACTTTGTTTCGCTCCTTTCTTGCTCACAGATTTAGTTTCTACTTATTTACTTGACAGGTTGTTCAGCACTTGTTATCGTAGAGAAACAGCCGGTTCCATATCCTGACTTTTTAGCCCCTTAGTATGAGCCACACCCCCAAAACACTGGATCCTACTCGATAGCAACTTGATGGCACCCGATAGCGTCACCAGGTCTTATTTTTTATCTGACTGATCTCTTCAGATTCACAGAAAATAACTGTTTACGTTCCACCGGTAGTTAAATCATAATTTTTAGGCAACAAATGAGCAGAAATCAGCTGCAAAAAAAAATTTCAGAGCACAGAAATCAGTGCATCTGAAAGACTAAATTTCAGAAGCTCAGGCTGAGTAATCAGAGGTAACTCTTCTCGACACTCGGGCATCATGTGGTTTCGGCGTACGAGTAGCTCCGTGATAGGCAGCCGCTGTTGTGTCTGAATTGCTTTTCACATGCGCTCACACTCACACGGGCACTTTCTCTGATTTTTGCCGTCCCCACTGTCTCCTCCATCTCGTCTTCTCAATGTCTTTGTATTGTCGAGGTCACAGCGGTACTACATTCACACACGCACAGCACGGACCATTTCTACTCGGGTACCTCACACACCTCTAAGTTACTGTACGTTTGTGCAAACGAGAGGAGTGAACGTACTCAATGGAAGCCAGCTGGAGGGAAAGATGATGGAGATTTGTGAGATTTTAGCCTTTTTGTTTTAGCCAGGCAACTTCAATCAAGAGCAAACGGATGGCCGGGTAAAAAGCTTTTCAAAAAGGGGCCGCAGATTAAGCTAAAACATGAG